TCGGTTGTAACTTGTAAGGCATATAATCATGTGCCTACTATTGCATTTTGTAACCACCATCAAAATTATGAACTTGTATTTATTTGCAATTTGCATGACCATTGATGTTGATGAGCATGCAAGGAATAAGATTCGCCAGAATGTAACTTCTATTTTAAAAATACTATGACTATGTATTATTTCCATCTTATGGTTGATCGTGTTTATTTAAGATGAACAATATAAGAACAATAATTATAATGGAGAAATTATCGGTAGTTAGTATCTTATGACTATGTGTTATTTCATCTTATGGTTAATCATGTTTATTTAAAATGGCACAGTGTAAGAACAATAATAATGGAAAATGTATCTATAGTTTGTATCTTATGACTGTATGAGTATGTATTATTGTTTCCATGTTATGGTTAATCGTGTTTATTTAAGATGACATAGTTTAAGAGCAATAATAATGGAGAATTTATCAATACTTCAAATTTTATAGAGTTTATGGGTTTATTTAATTATGGGTAATCAGCCTTAGGCCTTGTTCTTTTAAGCTAACAAATGAGCCAAAAATTAATTAAACTAAACTAAATAATAATAATAATAATAATAATAATAATAATAATAATAATAATAATAATAATAATAATAATTAAATTGAGCTAAATTGAATTGAACTAAATTGAGATTGTTAAGGGTCTGTTCTATTCACCCTATTTTCACTTATTTCAGGTCTTATAAGTTAAGATAAGTTCAGTTAAGTTAAGATAATTTCAAATAAGTTCAGTTTAGGAAAAACAAGTTCAGATTAGTTCGGTTAAGGAAAAATAAGTTCTGATAAGGTACCAAGTTCAAATTATAACTAAAATAGTTTTAATAAGTTCAGATAAGTTCAGTTTAATTTAGATAAGTCCAATTAAGTTCAGATAAGTTAAAATCAGGTGAATAAAACACACCCTAAGTTGAACTGATCAAACTGAATCAAAAATAATCCAAGAGAACAGGACCTTAGTGGCACAATATAAAGGATGCAACTAGAGTGTGCCCAGGTATTATACTGGCCTGGATTGCTACTTTAAAACATAACTAGTCTTCTGGCCCATGTAATGAAAGACTTATTCATAGGTATGTAATATAATTTTTGTTGTATAAGATGTTTTTAATTTATTGGTAGAACTTAAATAAACTTTTAAGAGATATTAAGTTGGAGGAGAATGAACTAAACAACACTAATAATATGTATTGAATTATGACTATTTTTTATTTTTATTTTTGATAATATGTTAGAAAGGGGGTTAAAAGATAGGTTAAATAAGGTGACATGTGGCATTATTCAACCAAAAGAAAAGGTGACAAATGACAATGAATGCATGATGGTTTTTGTTTTTAAATACTACTAGGTATAGATGTTGGTAAAGAAAGAGGATTCAAAGAAAATAACTCTTCGTTGTCTTGAAATTATTGAGGTTATTCTATCATTGTGCTACACCGTCATTTAACTAGAAATTAATTATGATATGTTACATGACATAAACGTTTTTAAAAACACTTTTTAATATATAAAAGTATAGATATACAAAAATTTGTATATGCTTTACATTCTAGAATAAGGTTAAGGTTCATATTTCTTGTCAATAAAATACTTGTGGGTTCATGTATATTTCTTAAAAGAGTTATGATTAATGAATGGTTTTGAGTTTATTTTATATGATGTAATTAATTCAATTGGACATACTTTAGAATTATGATTTAGTTTTCTTCACCTTATTTGTTGATAATTTTATCTAATTGAAATTACGTTTATTAAAATTAAATTATTTTTGCTGAATTTAAATAATTTTTACTGCATAAAATTTATTTTGCTAATTATTTTTACTAATTTCCTATTATATATATTTTTTTTAAAAGTTATTCAAATCATTTCTTCTTATTAAAACTTGTTATGCTGAATTATGTGAAGAAAACAATGCCTAAGGAGTGAAATTTGAATTGAAACATAGTTTATAATTTGACCAAATATATTTCTACCAAAATATAAATTAAAAACAAAAGTTATCATCTAAAATACTACGTATTAAATTTCAAAAAAAATTATAAAAAAATTAACAGCCAAAACTGCTCATTGGTATTTATATGAATACTATGTGTATAGATTAAAATTTGAGCTACATGTGCAACTCTTTTTACTGGAATAACATTTTCAGCTCAAAAATAAAAATAAGCGTATTCAACCGAAAACATATGCATAATTAGCGGGAAAAAATGTACACATCAATCCTTCTCATCGTTCTAATTTGAAAAACCTTCTCAATTTATTGGATTCCTACTCCGTTCTAAATAATGGCATTACTTGACTTTAATCTATTCTTTGATATAGTGAATATGTAGGATATTATAAAAAAATAAAAAAATAAATAAAAAAAAAATCAATTTTTTTTCCTCACTTGTATTATAAATAACAGCTGTGTCTGGTGTGAACATATGTTTATTCTAGAAAGAGTGTATTTTATCCAAGTGTCTCATTTGCTAAGTAGTAAGAACAAGAAAAACAGAACACTAGTTCCTTCAAATAATTTTGATAGGAGTTCAGAAATTATTCTCATTGAAGTTTAATTTACGACAGCATTCAAAAAATATACATCATACATGTATGTCAATTGTAACTACAAATGTCATGCAATGAGGATAAGACTCAGAGTAAATATAGAAAGTAATGTAATATAAACCAAACTATTTTTTTAACAAAATGATCAAGAAGATGTGTGTTCTACCTTTTGCCCCACCACTAAATTTATGTAAAATTTGGTAAACTCTATGTTTTTAAAATTAGTTAGTTTTATACTTTCATAAAAATAATTAGAATCTAAGGGCTTTTTAAATTTAAAGATAGTATATGTGGGGAATTAAATATTTTTACCAAATCATTAGGAATAATTTGCATTTTGCATTGATTTAATTATATGTCTATCAACATATATTTTATTGACATCTATCTAGATCGTATAATTATATTTAATTTTTTATAAAGTCTTATTCTGTATGAACCTCCGTCACGTAAAATAATACAACGTATATCTTATATCTAGCTTAAACACTACGACACCACATCATTCATGTCGTTCAGAATAGAGATAGAGTGGCACGAGTGTCACCATTAATGTGCGATAAACTTTAGGTATATTAATGGGTTATATACTTATATTAGTATCAATATAGGTAAAGAATGTGGTGGAGGGTCTTTCTACTCCAGGAAAACAGGAAATTATGGTAGGACCTTTATCCTTCAATTAAATTAGTGGGCTTACAATTAACAAATAAAATAAATAAATAAAACCCTAAGGAAAGCAACAATAATAATGTGAATAATATTTATGGTAGTACGTGTAAGAAAGAGAGAATAATAGTAAGCGTGTGGGGTATTTTTTATCTCTATTTTGGTGTTTTTTTTTTTTTTTTTTCTCTTTTTTATCTTTTTGAAATTGATTCGACATAGATTTCAGGTTGACGGCTTACGTGTCCCGACAATGAGTAGCTTATAGGTCTTAACGCGGGGAGATATATTTCTACGTGCTTCACGGTGTTTTCCTTATAATGGGGTTTCCATTATCATTCACTCCCTCATTAACTTACTTCCTCCTTGTTTCTCAATTGAAATGACATTTAAAAGAAAAAATGATTCACAAATTAATAAGGTGAGAGTGTAAAGTAATTTACATATTTGTACGGGTGTTATTAAATGTCGCTCTAAAATTACAAGGGGTCGCTTGCATTTTTTTCATAAAATTTCGTATTTGCCCCTCGTATATAAATACTCACGACACTCACTCACGCAACACATTTCACGCTCGTACTTTTCTCTCTAAATTTAAAATTCTCTCCAAAAATTAAAAAATCAGAAATTTAGGCAAAAAAAAAATCTGAAAATCCAAAAAAAAAAAAAAAAAAAAAAAAAAAAAAAACAGAAAATTAAAAAGAAAAACATTAACAACCACCACCAATCCAAGGGGGGTACAAGAAATCCGGCAAATCAGGCTGACTTACAGCGGTTGTGGCAGCGGCATGGGAGGCGGCGAACATATACGATCTGAAATTTGGTCGTTAATTCGGAAAAATAAAATAAAAAGTTTCGGAAATTTTGGGACACTCGCTTGAAATTTCCGGATGTTCCTTGGGACATCCGGAAATTTCAGGCGGATCTCCCAAAGTTCCGAATTTTTTTTTTTTTTTGTCTTGATTAATTTTTTGTTTTTTGCTTTTCGTGCTTAATATTATTTTTTTTTGTCGTGATTAATATTTTTTAAATTACCGGTTAAAATTATTCCGACTTTTTTTATCCTCGTGATTATGTTATGTTTTTTTTTCTTGCTTAATATTTTTTTTTCGTGACTAATATTTTTTAAATAATTGTTGTTTTGTAATTTTGTTAGTAATATGTTGCGAAATTTGCGGTTTATAATTATTATTGTTATTGTTATTAATATTGTTATTATTGTAAATTTTTTTTTCGTGATTAATTTTTTTAATAACCGATTAAAATTATTATTATTAGTAATTAATACTGATATTTGATTTTGTACTTATTTAATGTAGATTGAGGGTTCGGGTGCTCGTCATGCAATATCAAGATGTTTGAATGCGTCTATTAGGAGGGAGTCAGGTCGTTCAATAAATACGGGGGCACCGTATCATCATGAGCAGCAATATGGGTCTCCTGGTACTTGGTTAGGGGAGCATCAGTCACAAGGGAGCCTCCCCATGTACTCGTCGAGTGGAGTGCCTACATCTGACGATGAGGATGAAGTGCGGGCAAGTCAGGCTGATCGAGATGAAGAGTATGACCCTCAGGATTATCATACGGTGTATAGGGGTCATCATGGGAGATTTGTTAGTAGTAGTCAAGCGAGTTAGCCTTCTACCAGCTCAGCAAAGACATGGGTAGTGCAGCAGCTGATGCCAGGTGGTCCTAAGGATGGTACTGTTATCCCTAGTTTTGGTGGTCACGTGGCTGCATATATATGGGGCGGGCAGGACGTAATGTTTTGCGCTGTTTGAGCAGGACACATTTGTGTTCTAAATTGGTTACCTGGCGAGGTCGTCTTGCACAGGAGCACCTAAAATTGGTTGATGGTAGTGGTCTGTCTCACTTACCCGGGATCATGTTTAGGCGTTTTGACTGGCCGTTGATTTCTGCTTTTGTTGAGAGATGGCAGCCAGATATGAACACGTTTCATATGCCATTTGGGGAGATCACGATCATGTTGCACGATGTGTACCATATTCTTGGGCTTCGTGTTGATGGTTCCATGGTTTCCACTAATCTTAGCACGGACGTCATACGGGACGCGTGCTCGGTTACCATGGACATGACTGCAGAAGAGCTTAATGAGAAGTGCGGTACTAAAACCATTTGGCAGGGTAGTGGGGTGCTGACCGAGAGGATTATGGACTCGACCTTGGAGGCACAGAGGCCCTTCAGTGTCCATTACAGTGCCTACATGTGGTTAGTACTGGGCGGATGTCTGTTTTTGGACAAGAGTGGTAACCGTACTCATCCGTCCTTCCTCAACGAGCTTGTTGTTGATGATTTTCCGATTAATGAGTTGTCTTGGGGTTCGGCTGCTCTAGCATATCTGTATCGGCAGTTGGGTACGGCATCAAGAAAAGATGTCGATTCAATCGCTGGTTGTCTCACGCTTCTGCAGCCGTGGATCTACGAGTACTTTCCATGCTTCAGGCCTCAGCAGGGTACGTTGACGAGGGAGCTTAGTATTCCTCGTGCGTCTGCTTGGGATGTGTGATCGTGATGCCCTAACAAGAGCATGGAGCGCCTCCTCGCTTTTCGTGCTAGATTGGATCAGTTGACTGACAATGAGGTTAACTGACTATCGTACGGAGTTGTAACTACACGAAGCGTGCCAGCCACTCTATTTATTGGCTAAATCCAGTATCGTAGCATCATTGAGCCATACATGCCTGATCGAGTGGCTCGACAACTTGGATTCGTGCAGGACATTCCAAGGACCATTATCAGGCCTTAGAAGGCCAAGAGACCGACGAACTTAAAGATGTATCGGGTAGACTTTCCAACCGAGATGACATTTTTTATGTGGACTCGGTTTGTCCCTGGTTTGTCTTTCAGTGTTGTTTTAGGTGCCCTCACAAGACTTAGTGGTGGAGCTCCTACGGTCGCTCCTGGTTACATGCAGTGGCTATACCGATTTTCTCATCCTCGTCTTTTTCTTGGTGGGTCAACAGATGGGAGTACCAGACTACCTGAGAGGACTAACACTGACTATGTAAGTAGCTGTGTTTTATTATACTATAAATACCACTTCCAAAAATTGTAATTTCTATAATATGTTGTTCTCTTATTTGCAGTGGATGGGTCGGTCCATGGAGATTCACCGAAGAGCACTGGACGAGTATCCCAACATTTCGCGTGAAAGAAGGGCAATGACTGAGGAGCTGATAGTTGACTAGAAGGAGATGATGGGGTTGTAAATTACTTGTCTTTTAGTTTTATATTACTTGTACTCATTGTTTTACACTATTTTATATTCGGCATGTAATTTAAGAATTAGACACTATCATATTTGGTTTTGTTGAAACTTTGTTTAATTACTTTTATTGTTTTATATTACATAGCTACAACTGTTCAACCTAAGTGAAAGTACATAAATGATTTCACTGCCTAATTAATTCATCCCACATGTTCCTTCTAACTTCATATTACTGATCTCATCCGTCAACACTTGGCTCGTGGTGCTCGGTCCACCATCCTGCAATTGAGGGAAGAGGTGAATTTTCTGCAAGATCAATACGGATGAAATGTGACCCCCCAACTGTAGCGATCACAAACTCTCGAGCGGGTGCCCTGACCGTGTTTCGTGCCCGCAACGGTAAATCGTGAGGCATGGGTAGTAGCAGGTTGGTATGGTGCCTACACCAAGAATAATAACCCTTGCGTTGAACCAAGTAGCAATAGGAAATAAATCTTGAATTGCAACCATCCAATGCCGTGAATCAACCGCCCCACCATCCCATCGAATACATTCCACATTCATCCGAACCCTTCCAATCCCGTAAATCCTTTCGTACAAGAATGGATGAGCGGCGACCTCATTTGCTATTATTTCCCGAGCGTCAAACCATTGCGCTTGATCACCGAAGAAGAAGTCGGCCACACAATGAAAGCCACAGTTACCATCACCAATGACATCCTTCCGTGCCGTGATGTAGGGCAACATCGGTCCTAGAAGCAAGTGCAAATATCTGCATTGGCTGATGTCACATGGATCTTCTACTTCTACACAAAATTAATGTTCAGTTATTAGTACGCTACAAGATGAAATACGTGTCATTGAGAACTTTCAAACAATGCTGAGACACCTTGCCGCTAATACGTGATAGTGGCAATTGTTTGTACTTCTCACCAATCTTCGACCTAGACGCCTCCAAACCATTATGAATTGCAATGATCTGATTACCAATATGACAATGTACTCAGGCCCATACGGTATCCAAAGAACATTTCGTTGATTAAAATTATAAAAAAAACCGTTATGATTTATAATTAAAATAACTAAAAAGAAGTAAATACATCAACTACAACATAATAACAACGAACCTGTAGAAGATTCAAATCACATCTTCACGGCCGAATGTTGGCTCTCAACTCTGCAAGTACTCGTGTTACCTAAGTGAAGAACTTGGTTCGTCCAAAATATCACAAATTTAGTTTTATGACAAAGTCATGTTCTCTCAACATAACTAATCACTGCCGGATAACTTGCCCAGCGAGCTTTCATTGTATCTACAGCAGCATTATAATCTTCCTCGATTACAGCATCCATGATACGTTTCCATTTGCCGTTTTTGAAACTCGCACCGATCCTCTTGTTTTTGAAAATATCAGTGACCCGAGCCTCCACATCTTTGTAATGTGCCATCGAAAAAATAAATGCGGCGTCCCTGGAAACACTTCTCTCAATGCCGCACAGAGGCCAAGCTCACGGTCTATCAAAAATATCGAGGGTTCCTTATCATACCCAATCAACTCTCTTTATCTCTGCAAAACCCACCGATAGCTTGTCGTGCACTCGTTGCGCATGAACACATAACCGACGAGGAAATTCTGATTTGTCGGTGTCACACCAACTATCTCAAAGAACGGCATCCCGTATCGGTTGGTCTTGTAAGTCGAATCCATACCAATCACATGTGGGTACGTGCGTAGTATGTTTACCGTGATTAGGTGCACCATAAACGCATGCTGTAGAATGCCGAGATCATCATACATGACCTAGTAAATATACTGACTCTGTCTCGCTAAATGAAGAAATTGCTGAACAACTCCTCTCCCATCAGACATCTCCGTTCTCAAGTCATTCTGGCAATTGTAAATGTGTCTGATGTTTGGATGATCATCAGGAAATTTCTCTGCAATAGTCGCTATGATGTTACGCGGTGCAACTTTGGACTTTGTGATGTCACGCACAACCTTCTTCGCATCCGGGCTCAAGCAACTAATTTTACGATGACCCTCCTGATACACAATCATTGGATGGTTATTGGTCCCAGTTGCATCACTTTTTGCCCGGATCTTCCAACTATCGGTGAAGAACTCGTAATATATCTTGATGTAGAAAGGACAACCATTAGCTTTGGTTTTTGTATCCTTCCGAATTGCGTTCTCAAGATCTCTCGGCTTGCTCTTTCATCCCCGATCACATCTCAAATATCGATAAGGTCGACCTCTCTGGTTTTGTTGTAAGACGATTTAACCAAAATAAATCCCAAATTTATGGCAACAACATCCGCCCATTTAACTACATCATCAAATATTGGAAAAAACGTGTCTGTGACAAAATTCGCACTATAATGCACATCGTCACCGCCTTCTTCAAACTCCGAATCCTATAAAAATAAAAGAAAACACACAAAACACTCCAATATTATTATTTTAATTATAATATTAATAACAATATTTATAAAACAACAACAATAATAATAACAATAACAATAATAATAATAATAATAATAATAATAATAATAATAATAATAACAATAACAATAACAATAACAATAACAATAACAACAATAACAATAACAATAACAATAATATCACAATTTATCACAACATTAACCAATATCATAACATTAACTAATATTAACTAACATCAACTAACACTAACATTAACTAACATCACAACATTAACTTATATTAACTAACACTAACATTAACTAATATTAACTAACATTAACATAAACTAATACTACCTCCGATTTTTTTTTTATGTGCAACTTTCAAGCTTTTTGCGGTTCACGAAACAAAAGATTGAAAGGCAAAGATTAATAAAAGTGAGTGGGTTTAATTAAAGGAGAAGGAGAGAGAAAGTGTGGCCACCCACATAGTATTTTGGTGGGAAAAACTGGCCAAAAGTACAAAGCCAAATTTTTCCCCTCAATTAAATCTACCATAAACTAAAGTACTCAAATTTTCCATGTAAAATTTGTTTCCCCCCAATTTTTCAAAAAAAATCTGCCAAACTGAAATTTTTTTTAAATTTCAATGGAGGCTATAAAATCAGTCTCCATTTCGACTTTGCCCCCACAATTTCAACATTTAATGAGGCTATAAAGGCAGCCTCCATTGTCAATAAATTCATTACAGCCATTAATGTTAGCAGCTGGGTGAAACATTCCAGCAAAAATCAGAGTTTCATCCCAAAAAATTACAGATTTCTAGTTCACCCCTACGGTTAGGTTAATTACACACTAACTACACTGTTCAAAGATTTACAAAAAAAAGGCTGCTCTGCTGTCATTGAAGGACATCTGGGTCATCTTCATCTTCACCCCAGCAAAAATCAGCAGGCCCCTCATCATCATCTCCTTGTGCTGATTAACACAAACACATGGCAGAGTATGGTGATTCTGTTTTTTTCGATGTTGAACACATACTAAATGAAGAACAGATGGCAGAGTTGTGGTTTGAAGAAGAAGAAGAAGAAATGCAGGATGCAGGCTTTTGGGGGTATGAATCAGAAGATGACAGTGAAGGTGAGGTTGATGGCTCACAAATGCAATAACAACCACAACAAATGACACAACAACCACAACAAATGCAACAACAACCCCAACAAATGCAACAACAAATTGTATGCAGGAAGCAACTGCCAATGCAAAAGAAAAGGCAAATCGTAGATGCAATATTGGTGAAAATGAACAATGGCATATTACCTAGGGGTCACTTGAAGCAGTTATCAACTCAATTCAACGTACACAAATCAACAATAACAAGAATATTCACAGATATAAAGAAACAGCTGGAAGAAGGGGACTTAATTGATGTCAGGACTAAAAAAATTGGCAGAATAGGGAGAAAGCCAATGGAAATTTCTGATGAAATTCTATAGTCAGTCCCATTACATTTAAGACAGACTAAAAGGAGCTATGTTGGACCACTGAAGATCAGTCATAGCACAGTTCACAATTTGAAGAGGAGAGGAAGGCTAAGAACACACACAGCCTGCAACAAGCCAGCACTGTCACCAGACCATAAGGTGGCCAGACTTAGATGGATTTCGTCACACATAAATCCATTTACAGGAAATCAGGACCCCACATTTGTTGACATGAGGAATGTCATACACTGTGATGAGAAGTGGTTCTACTTGAACCCTGATAAAAGGAGGTTTTATCTACTGCCAAGTGAGGAGGATCCTTACATGGCAGTTCAGTCAAGAAGATTCAAGCTGAAGGCCATGTTCATGGCAATTATAGGGAAGCCATTATATGGAATAGATGGAGAAATGTTACATGATGGGAAGTATGGCATCTTCCCATTCACTGTGCAGCAATTAGCACAGAAATCAAGCAAGAAAAGGCCAAGAGGGACTTTGGAAACAAAGGCACTACAGAATATAAACAGAGAAGTAATCAGGGAGATGTTGCTCACAAAAGTTATCCCAGCCATCAAGTCAAAGTGGCCATAAAGTCTGGCTAAGGATGTGGTAATCCAATGGGACAATGCTAGGCCTCACCAAGTTCCAAGGGATGCAGAGTTCATTGAAGCTACTACCACAAATGGCTTCAACATTCAATTTATATTTCAGCCAACACAATCACCTGATTTGAATGTGCTTGATGATTAGGGGATTTTGCTCCCACCAATCGGAATGCGCCACGTGGGCCAAACAGGTCCTGCCAAGTGTCCCCCAGTTGGAACTGTCAAGGCTTGCCACGTGGCACACTCTTATTCGTCCACCTTGGACCTATTATGTCATGACACGTGGCATACTCCATGCCTAATGGAGAAACCGGCCACCCAGGCCCAACTTCCGAGGGAAGCCCAATCAGCCCTAGGTTAACCTAAACCTAGGATTGGCACGTTTCCCAAGGTTATAAATACCTCCCTTAATCCTCATTAAGGGGGATTACACAGAGATAATAGGCTGATCACGCTAACAAAGCAGATT